CCAAGATTATATTATGTTATTATATAAACTGAATCCTGTCTATTTTAGAGCTAGCATATCATCCTCCACATGTCACCACAGTCTTTCTTACAGAGGCAACCTAAGTGAATGTGAAAAGAGTAGTATGGCACTCAGCAAAATGAAGACAGGTGTTTACAGAGCCCAAGTTACTTGTTATCTAAGACTAAGACGTTTAAATTGGCACAATTTCTTATTAGTGCTAATGACAAATATTTCCCCTGTAATGTTCTGTAATAAAGAGAAAATATTAATAATAGTCTCTGCTTAAAAAGTTTGAAAATGATCTTCCTATTTTTTTTTTAGGTTTGGTGAGATGACCTCAGCCTTTACAGTCCAGATAAAACTCTCAGGCGCTTTTAGTCAGTCCGGAGCGAATCAACTATCAATGGTTAAAAGAAAGAAATTGTTCTCAAAGAAGTTACTTTCATCAACTTATTCAATACCAGTCACAAACCTGCGCATGCCCCTATAGAAAAACATTTCACAAACATGTACTGCTCTTGGCTCTAACTACCTCTTTTTACTAGTAACAACATGTGATCTGTGTACAGCTGCACTACACCAGAAATTGCTTTCAACGCCTCTGTCTCATGCCTACTTCACAGACAGAGCAGCTGTCTCTCTATCCCTCTCCTCTCTCTCAAACATGATAATACGATAGTGTATGCTCTCTGGGTTCCACTTGTGAGATTAAATGTCTCAAGCGCGTTTGCTATCAGAAGATTAAAATGTCAGTCTCAATGAAACAGTGTCCTCCGGTAACAGATTTTAAGTTTGACACACCTTCTTTAAATGGTGATGTACCATCCAGACACAGCGGCAGTAACAACAGCAGTAGCCGTCCCTCTTAACTTGTGCTGTTTTGGGAACTGGATTTTAGTCTCGTCTCTCTTCTATCTTCCCTCTGTCCATCCAGCAGTATCGCCTCGTTATTTTCCTCTACAGTTTCTTCACACCTTCTTCCTTCGAGGCTCCACCGACAAGACTCCCTATTCGCACCTCTGTTTAACTCGGAGTCTCTGCTCGTACTCTTTCTCTCTCCTCCTGCTTGTCAGAGCTTGCTGGTGACAAAGTGATTTGTGGGAGCTCTGCGCTTAGATAACTTCTTTTGCCTTGCTCTGCCTCTTTCTCTCCCCCCCCTCTAGCTCTTCTCTTTCTCTTGTTCCTGTTACTCTATTAGAGCGAGCAGCTCTCCGCCCAGGAAATGAGGGTAACGGCCGCAGTGTAAAACATCTGCTGTTTAACAGAGCTGACTTCTGTCCACATCAGGAAGCCAGGAACTGAACATGTTTAATAACTGACTTTAGAAGCATTACCTCTGTCACACTGCGATGTCTGCAACCGAGGCAGTGATGATATGTCAATAAAGTCTTATACAAATTTTTCACCGAATGCCCACCACATTTACCTGGTGGATAAAAAGGTGTAAGCCAAACCATGTCAAAGAACTGAGCCACTTGAGACAAGCTGGTTTAAAAATAGAAAAGTGAATTTCAAAGCATTGGGAGCCAACAGGGCAGGGCTGTGTGGTGCACTGTTCTGCGTCTGGGTGCTTTTTAGAGGTTAGATTGTATATTTTCAAAAGAAGGGCTAGACTAAAACAAACTGTTGATTATTTCAATCTTTTTGTCTCGTTCTGATGGATGATTCAACAGAGAAGTAAAGATAGCAAACTATCGTTGCACAGTGGAGACTCTTGGAATTTTTTAAGGTTTAGCCAAATGTGCTCATGAATAAGCTGTTCATTACAAACTGAGAATAAATAGTGACATTCAGCATTGGGGAAAGTCAGGGCAAAATCCCCTTGTATTTCAGCAGTACTATAACAACAGTTGTCAGTTAAACAAGGAACCTAAAGGCTGTTTAAGTGTCAGCTTTTCCATGGCTCTGATTACCCTTAATGATAAGATAGTGAGGAAAAAAACAAAAAAGGGTGATCAAATGTCAGCAGTCATTACTGTAAACCAGTCAGCCACAACATCAACAGCATCTTATTTAGTGTTGTTAAATCCTCCATACACTGTCTGGGCATGGAGACAGGACCTCTGGGGCTGTCCGCCGATGCCTGGCACAAGTAGGGTCTTTGGGTCCATTGGGCCTTCACGGACTAGGCTTGTTCTATGGAATCCTGTGGTTGCTCAGTCTGACTGGGAGTATGGAAAACAAATCCAAAGCCTGTGGATCTTGGCTGTGTTGTTGATCCATTTCTGAGCAGGTTTTTGCAGTGTGGCAGTGTGTTGTCCTGCTGGGGGAGGCCCCTGCCATCATGGAGTCCCTATGACATTGGGGGATCTACATTGGAATTTAGGTAGGTGGTATATGTCAAAGTAAAAGTCATATGAATCCTAGGTCCCAAGGTTTCCCAGCACTGTAAACAGATTATGCTTTTACTGTTACCTGTGTGTCTGTTTTTAATGCTGTTGCTGATCTATGTCGTTTGTGTTGTGACACCTAAACTTTGATTGGCATACACTGCCATCTGGTGGGCAAATATGGTATAACGGTTAAAGAAGTGACTGTCTTATCGATAATAAGTTTGGTGGTATGGATATTTGGTGTGGATATTTCAAATTATTTCCCCTACAAAAATATCCATTACAAATGTATACTGCTGTTTTAACAACAGGAAAACAAGATAGACAAGAGTAACGATTGAAAATTACAAGAGGAAAAAATCTTACACACAGCCTTAAGAAGCAGACCTAATAAACACGCAAATCCAGAAGAAGTGCGGTTAAAGACAAATGAGACAGACTGTTTTATAATGGCTAAAAAAAGACCTTTTATGTCGTCATGCTTTTAACTGGATGTGTATTCTGTAATACAATTAAGAGTGTCACAGTGGATAGAGTATTTTGGGAAACCTCTGAACAGAAGTTGTGTGAAAGTTTGCTGTAGCAAGAAATCTCAGTTACATAAGTGCTTAAGAAGATGGCATCCATCTCTTACTGACACTGCACAGCCATCCTGTCTGACCAGTCTGCCATGGGGCATTTCATACCTGTCACCACATAGCCCGCATGGCAGTAGCTCAAGGTGTCTGTGTGTCTCTGAGCACAAGAGTGCAACTTGGACTGCTTTCCCATCATTCACATTGAAGAGCTAAATGATTCTCTGTGTTATTCTGCTAAAGATCCCACACAGCTGTGGTAAACACTGAAGTCTCTGAAAGAAGTGAGGTAAAAGATTCACAGTCAACAGAGAGAACAGATAGTATATGAATCATATCACCACATCAGATGTTGTAAGGTCTTACAAAGGTCTTTCCAACTGATGACAATATTGAGAACTGGCATGAAGTTTGCTCTGGGATTTGGTTTGGATAACAGCTTTTACTCTCAAAGCTGAGGTCATTCATTTTTATGCTAAACGTTTTATAATAAATCATTGATGCTGACTGGGTGTTGTTGATTGTGTGATCTAAAACTTAATTAGAGGAAATTAATTTTAGCTGTCACAAGTCTTGGGGTTATTTTTGTACACTTTTCTAGCACTGGGTTGGACCTCATTTGCTTTCTGAATTGCCTTAATTCTTTGTTGCACAGATTCAACGAGGTACTGGAAGCATTCCTGAGAGTGTTTTGGCCCATATTTACATGATAACGTCACACAGTTGCTGCAGTTTTGTTGGCTGCACATCCATGATACAAATCTCCTGTTCCATCACTTCCCAAACCTGCACTGTTGGATTGGGACGTGGGTATAGATCAGGGGTGGGCAACTCCAGGCCTCGAGGGCCGGTGTCCTGCAGGTTTTAGATGTGTCCTTGATCCAACATAGCTGATTTAAATGGCTAAATGACCTCCTCAACATGTCTTGAAGTTCTCCAGAGGCCTGGTAATGAACTAATCACTTGATTCAGGTGTGCTGACCTAGGGTGAGATCTAAAACCTGCAGGACACCAGCCCTCGAGGCCTGAAGTTGCCCACCCCTGGTATAGATGGATGGCCATGGTGAAGGTTCTTACTTGAAGCAACAATTGTTAAGTAGGATGTGGTGTTTAAATTATGCTCAGTTTTTCTAAGGGGCTTAATGTGTCACAAGAAATAATCCTCACGCACTTTTACATCAGCAGCCTGACCCACTGATACAAGGCAGGATGGAACCATGCTTTCATGTTATATATGCAGAATTCTGACCCTTCCACCTGCATGTTCCAGCAGAAATCAAGACTGGTGAGAACAGGCAATGTTTTTATAACTTTCCAATTGCAGAAAATTGTACCCTCATTTTCCTGCTCTTATCCTACAGGACTAGCTCTAAGTGTAGTCTTCTGCAGCCCATCTGCTTCAAGGTTCTAGGCATTGTGCATTCAGATTTGCTCTTATGCATACCTTGGTTGTGACAAGTGGTTATTTGAGTTACTGTTGCCTTTCCCAGAGAACTGTAGTATGTTGGATACCTTCTTTTTTTGGACCAGTCTTTGTAAACTCAGGGGATGGTTTTGTAGGAATATCCCAGCAAATTATCACTTTTTGAAATACTTTTTGAAATTAGGCCATCTGCCACCAGCAACCATGCTATGTTCAAAGGCACTTAAATAACGTTTCTTCTCCATTCTGATTCTCAATTTGAACTTCAACATATCAGATTTTACTTATGTCTCCATGCCTAAATGCAATGGATTGCTGCTAATCACATTAAAACTTGAGCAAGCACCTGAACAAGTGTGCCTAATAAAGTGGCCGAGGGTTTGTTTTTTGGTTTTGTTTTTTTTGTTAAGTTCCTTTTTGTATCTTCAATATGCACAAAAATGTGCCATATAATACATATTTAAACTACTCATTAACTTTTTGCTACTACTTGCTTCTTCTCTTAGGCTAGTGTCACCTGTCTCCATAGTTACGACGAAAGTGTATACGTGCGTGTCTTACGCAGGCGGCTTTGTGAATTGATGTTCTGTGTTTGGGACGCATTTCTGCCCTTTTTGCGCATTTTGCCACAAGTAAGGTAAAAGGTGAGTTTATAGAAGTGTTATTTCTGTGTCGACACGTTTCCGAGGCGTCGTTTTAAAGGGACACTGCGTTAAAAATGACTCGCACTGAGTTAGTGGACTGTGCCGATTGGAAATAATACCTGTGGGGTTACCAAGGTGGCGACGCATCGGGAGAGGAAACAGCAAATAGTAATGAAAGCGAGAAGGGGAGAGTCCTCTTTAGTGTGACATTAGTAAATTCAAGACCAAGGAGCCTGACAGGTAATACCAGAGATGGCTATTCTTTGTAGCTTTGCGGACGTTTGATGGACTCACTACTGACATAAAGACAGATTCTGGACCTGTGTGCCTCTCAGACGTTGAAAACGGTTACGTCTCCGTGAGTTAATTTTGTCCTCAAACACACATATCTTGCCCTGTGACTTTTATTTGGGTCCACCTTTAAAAAAATATCCCCAGTAATGAAAGATTGCAGTGAAAACTGATGAAGTATGGCACCGATAGCGATTTTAAATAAAATGGGGAACATTTATTTTTTGACAGGTGACAGTTTTCAGCTGCCATAATGGAGAAATACGAAAAGCTGTCCAAAATTGGTGAGGGTTCCTACGGTGTGGTGTTCAAATGCAGGCACAGAGATACTGGCCAAATAGTCGCCATCAAGAAGTTTGTGGAGTCTGAAGATGATCCAGTTATTAAGAAGATTGCATTGCGAGAAATACGTATGCTGAAGGTGAGAAGACATTAGTTCTGGTATCAAGTTTTCCACATGTCACACCACACGTGTACACTTGCACACACACACATGTGCATGCTACATGAATTGATGAAAGAGTTTAACAAAAAAAAATCCCTTTTTCAAACTTGTCAGGCTGTGAAGCACTGACACTGAAGTGTCTGTGATGTGTGCTCGTCTTTTAGCAACTCAAACACGTGAATTTGGTCAACCTGCTCGAGGTGTTCAGGAGGAAAAGGCGGCTCCACTTGGTGTTTGAGTTCTGTGAACAGACAGTCCTAAATGAGCTTGACAAACATCCCCGAGGGTAAGTCAAAGCAGCACAGGAACAGCATGTGACAAATTAACTTTTTAAAATATCTGTTCACTCTTTGCCAGTTTGGGATTAGTGGTTATGTTTGTTGTGGTAGAGCTGCTGAAGGGTAACATACTTGGAAATTCAAATAATCATTCCCTTCAACCTCCAGATGTGTTGATAAAGTAACATTATAACTAAGGAATTTAGTTTTAAGGAGTCATCTATTTGGCAAATAGTTTGCCAAAGAAGTATTTGGTATTTCTAACAGGAGCATGACAGAAGAAAGGAACAGGGTGAATTAGAAAGAGGGAGCAAGACTGTAGCTAAGAAATTCTGGTGACAGAAAATGCTGGCAGTAGAATGAGGGCGTAATAGGCAGTCTTAACATGAAGGATCAAAAAGTAGGAAAAAATAGCTCTTGTCTTTTCTCTGCACTTTGAGCAATGTATGGTCACAAGCCAAGATTTCAGTATAGCTTTTGTCACGTGAACTCACGTAAACCACAATGGCTATTTGATTTGATTTGATTTTATTGATTAGGATTCAAATTCAAATCTCAGTGAAAACAGTGAAAAAAAAAACAGTGAAAACAGAACAAAAATCTACCATAAAGAAAGAAAGCATGAGACAAGGCTAATCAAAAGGTATTGGCTGAAGCATTTGCTTATTACGCCAACCCTTTTCACAAAATATCTTTTTGTATGCAGCTCCTGTACACAGGGCTTGAATAAAATAATAAAACATCTGCTATCTGTTGTCTTACCATTTTTCTTTTTCCCACGAGACTGTGCAGCAGAAACTCTAGCTGGTCTTGAAAACAAAGGCGCTGCTGCTTTTAAAGACAGGCCTAGGATTACCCGGGTGACCGCAGGGCCGAGTAAAACACCACTTCTTTTATTGAAATGGCTGGAATGACAGATGAGGACATTGTAATTTGTAAATAGTTTGTCTGTTTTTCCTTCCTTTGTCTCTTGTTGTCTCTAGGGTACCTGAGGCTCAGCTGAAAAGTATAGTATGGCAGACTCTGCAGGCTGTCAGCTTCTGCCACAAACACAATGTCAGTATATTTTATTATATGTTGCACTTCATCTAAATGATTTGCATATATTTATCTAATGCAGGTGAGCACATGCCTTATTTTTGTTAAGTTGCTCATTGCTGTAATACTTCCTTTCCTCTGTACTGGTATTTGAGTTACTGTGGAGGATGGTTGATGCATTCCTTTTTATATTAATCAAACCAAGTCTTTATTGATTTGATTTATATAAAAATGCAGTTTTGTTGTTTTTGGGGGGGGGTTTTGTGTTTTTTGTTTTTTACTCAGCAAAATCTCACGTATATAGTTATTTTATAAGTTAAATTATCTGATATCCGTAACATATTCATTTTTTAAATATATTTTTTCAGTGATTGTTATTTCCCAAACATTTATATCTGTTTTTATATGTTATATATTGCTCTTTATGATACACAGTTCTGCTTAATTCTGTAGCTAAATCTAACTACCGACTATATAAGCACCTTTTTGTGCATCATTGTAGCAAATATACTATTTCATAGTCATTTTTAATGTTCTCAAAGCTTTTATTGCAATGTTTGTTACACGTCATAATAGGTTCCCTTCTGAAATGTCAGTCTGTAAAACTAGTTGGTGCCTGTAGGGGGAGCAGTTCGCCTTATTGCTCCCTCCTATACACGCACACATACGCACACATATATAGATAGATAGATAGATAGATAAGCATAGGCAGTCTATCTGGTAAATAAAAAATAAAATAAACTCTTAGCCATACAGTATTAAGTTAAAAGTGTGACGGTTTCTAATCTCTTGCTCTTGTTCTTCCCCATTCATTTTTAATTTGCCAGCCTTAACATAAGCTTGTGGCTCTGACACAAAGAGACTGTATATCATGTTGCCTAAATCCCTGATAATGACTGTTTGTCTCACAGTGCATTCACCGTGATGTAAAGCCAGAGAACATCCTCCTCACTAAAACCGGAGTCATCAAGCTTTGTGACTTTGGCTTCGCCCGTATTCTGAGTAGGTCATTCAAGGAAGAGTGTTAATTTGTCTGTAATGACTTATTCAACACAGATCCTATATGTCAGCCCTGCTCATGGCCACCTCACTTTTAGAGTTCCAGTGAATGCATTGTACAGTGAAATGACACTGTACAGTCTCTCTTTACCCCTGCTGCGTAACGTTTCAGTGTCATGTTACCATACATTAACATGTAATCTTTCACCATGTCTTGTAATCCCTCCCTCAATTATGTATGTGTTATTTAGTGTGCATTATTCAGTATATTAATGTTTATGTGTATAAGTTGTCACCATGTGTATTTGTGTTGGTATACTAGCGGGACCAGAGGATGACTATACAGACTATGTAGCAACCCGCTGGTACCGGGCTCCTGAGCTGCTGGTCGGGGATACTCAGTACGGGCCTCCTGTTGACGTGTGGGCTTTGGGCTGTGTCTTTGCCGAGCTCCTCAATGGGAACCCACTTTGGCCCGGGAAGTCTGACGTTGACCAGCTCTACCTCATCAGGAAAACTCTGGGTAGACTGAAGAGCTGTTTAAAACACTAATGACACTGCATGTAACATCAGCATAAATTTACATCTACAATCAGGAGAACTGTCTTCTGTCAGACAGTCTGGTAGCTTTTTTTTTTCTAACTAGAGAAACTGAACTAGTTGCTCAAAATAGGAGTTGTTTCCTCTTATTTAGTTGCTTGAAATTTTTCACAGTATTGTTAGCTCATTGCACCCATTGCATGCAAATTGCTATTTTGTGTGAACTGAGCCAAACTGGTTTAGGTCCGAACACACCCTCAGACAACAAGAAACTTTTCACAGACAGGCTGGGTTAATAATCAGATTTCTGACCGTAGGTGACCTGATCCCCCATCACCAGCAGGTCTTCCGCTCCAATGTTTTCTTCAGTGGAGTTAGCATTCCTGAGCCTGATACAATGGTATGAAAACTATTAAAACCAAATCTGTGTTCATAATGAAGTCATAATGAATGGGGTTATATACTTTTTTTTTTTTTTTTGCTATAGGAACCTTTGGAAAAGCGCTTCCATGGAGTGTCTCCCCATGCCCTTCAGGTTATGAAGGTATATTTAGTGTAATACAGACTGGCTGATACAGCATCATGATTAATGCTACTGGACAATTTGTCAAAGACAATTTTTAACCAAATCAGTCCTTCAGGCCCAGCCAGTATAAGCGAGTCAGTGTTTGTCCACATATTTTGAAAAGCCTTTGCTTCATGCTAAGTCTCTGTGTTAACAGTCATCCCTGGTGATGGATCCTTCTTTGCGCCTGTCCTGTGAAGAGCTGCTAGAGCTGCCTTACTTCCAGGAGGAAGGAGGACTCAACTATGGCCGTGAGGGGGAGCGCCTAGGAAGACGACATGACAGAGGCTCCCGCCGCAGACAGGCTGGGGTCAGTGTGACACACAGGGGTTTAATCGTGCAAGAAAATGATCCAAAGCCCAAAGAGATTGTCCACACTGCTACAGCTACAAATGTCCTTAAACCGGTGAATGCAACTCTACACAGGCTGACAAGGCATTATCCTAATACATTGTTTCCTTCTCTCTTTCACTCTCTAGGCTCAGTACCTGCCTCAGTTACCAAACAGTAACATCTCACCTGCACCAGAAGTCAAGAAACAAGTGAAGCAAAAATATCACCTGCCCAACATATAATAAATAAATTCATCTAGTGTTTAGTGGCTGGAATGTGTAAACGATGGAGTAAAGTTCTGCTTTGCGCAGTCATTTAAATAAGCTGATTTGAAGGAACATACGTTAATGTTGTGGTAAGTAAAATACGATTTTAATTCTGTGATTACTTATAGATATAAACGATATTCTTCATACAAAAAACAATAGTTTATATATTATGAGCTGAGATTAGGGCAAAGAATGCACAATCTGTTCGTATCATAGCTAAAGATACATCTACAAGATTGAAACAAATGTCTTGTAGTCACCACTGTGCCATTGCAAATTGGCTACAAGACTATACTGGTTTTCTGATACATCCAGTAATTACTAATCATACATTAAAATAGTTGAGCATTTTACCATATATAAGAGAAACAAATGCATCTATCTTCAGATTCTGTAAACATTGTTGATGTTGTTAATGTAAACCAAAAAAAGAGCATTTAGTACTGGATATTAGCCTGTATACTTGATGTTTAACTTCCTCACACAGTCTTAAGGTTTAATAAAAACCCACCACGAAAGCCAATACTTTAAATAATTTGATGGGTTCTTAATGTACTCCAGCCACTGTCTCAATGGCGATACCTAAGGTCAGATGCAGGCATCCACTGTTACTCAGCCATCCACTGGAGTACGCATCGGCACACCAGCATCCTGACACATGGCTTGATTCATCACCTGACCTCAAACTTATCAAATTACAGATTTAACTCCTTGTTATATAGTTCAGTGATCTGTGCTGTAGACAGACAGGGTTTACCATACACTATAAACAGCCCTACTTTTTTTTTTTTCCTGGTCAAAGCAACTTTTCACATAATGATTAATAACATTTCCCATTCATCAATGAAATTACTTCATATGGATCTCTTCTCGTGGTTTATTGTATGATTAGGATGCTTTCTTTAAAAACAAGAGATTTCATGGAAAGATAGGTGGGAAAAGAAAATATACCACACAGAACAACATTGGATATGCTGTAAACAAGATGATAGAATTTATATAGACAGAAAAACACACTGAAGCACGGGGCATGAAAATTGATCATAACAGCTAGTGATATCAGTCTTAAAAGTTTAGAAGATTGAAAACCCAGACTATAGTTTAAATCAGCATTACTACCGGGGTGTTGCAATAATTGTGTATCTGCGAGGCACATTGGCAAAGCCACTGTACTCAGGGCTGAGGTCTATGCTGTCAGGCCCGCCAGGGCAAGAGAAAGTGAAATGTTGCAGCAGTGACACCAGGAAGAGGAAAATCTCCATGCGAGTGAGAGACTCTCCAACGCAAGATCTCTTTCCTGGAAGAAGAGCATAAATAAGCCAATGAGAAAAACAATATACATCTAACTGTGATGGAAAAAAAGATTGTTTTATGATTTTTCTCTTCACAGAAAAATCTTACTCAGAATATTCCAGGAAAGGGCATAATACCACAAAAATGTGTTAATAAAGTAGATCCAATGAGGAGCACATTTTCTAAAGGCGTGGAGGATAGAAGGAAATGTGCATCATTACCTGCAGAGAAGGGCAGAAATGCAGGGTTTTTCTTAAAGTTCCCATTGTTGTCCAGAAAGTGCTGGGGGTTAAAAGACCGTGGAGTTGCCCACCGTTTTTCATCTTTTAGCACAGAGTGCAACAAGGGAATAATTAGTGTATCCTGTTGAGAAAAGATGTTCAATCAGATGGGACATTTCTTATCTGGGAACATTCTGCATAAACAGCACTAAAATAGATTACATCAAAATACCTTGGGAATTGTGTAACCCCTGAAAGAAATGCCATGTAGTGCATAGTGAGGGATGCTCAAGGGGATAATATCTAGAAAACGTTGAATTTCATGGAGGACTGCGTCTGTATATGGAAGGGACTTCTTGTCTTCCATACAAGGGCAACGCTGTCCAACTAGTGTCAATTTCCTGCTGAATGGTCTCTTTGGAATGAGAAGAAAATTGCAACATAATTAGTGGAGAAAGCTCTAAAGTCAGTAGCAAATCAGCAAAAAATAAGATTAAATAAAGACTTTCAAATATTTTAGTGCTGCTTTACATAGATTTCTGGAGTGAACAATTAACACGAATTACCAATTATAATGTCATTCAGTCTGAAGTTTTATTTATTTTTAAGAGAAGAAAATCATCAGAGCAAGTGTGCAGAATTTCATTTGCTTTCTGTTTCTACCTTGTATTTGGGGGTATTTGATCAGAACATTTAATGCATATCTGATAGTTGAGCTAGTGGTTTCAGTTCCTGCCAGATAAAGATTCAACACTGTTGACACCAAGTTGTCATAGTGGAACTGGCTTGTAGGAATGGGCTTTTCCAGAAAGTAAAAACAATTTTATCAGTTTACCAATACAACCTCAAGATTAAAATTAAAGACTTTAAAATGCACTTGCAGGGGAATACCAATGCAAAGGAATTGTCTTATAATAGGGGGCATGCACATTTGTAAAAGAGCAATTATCAGCAGTAAATAAAAGAAGCCTAAGTGAGGTAAGTCACAAAGATTTAGTCTGGTTATTAAATTTAGTACTGTCACACCTTATTGAGTCTTAGGAGGAAGCAGTCAATGTAATCTCTGGGTGAACTTGCGTCCAGTGTGTCCTGATGTTCTTGGATTTTATTCATAATAAATGCTCTCATCTCCTCAAGTTTGGCAAACAAATTGTGATGTGAACCTGGCAACCACTCCATCAACCGTGGGAAGATATTATAGAGCTGTGATGAGAGAGAGAAAAAAGACTCGATTGCTGTGTTGCAATGTTGCTGAACTCTAGCTATTATTTGGGCACATTTGGTTTTTAATTGAATCACTCACCCGCCATGCCAGTTTCATGTTATTGTTACTTTAGCTTTTACCTGGCCCTGAGAACTGCTGCCAAATTTCAAGGTGTCTGAGATGATCTGCAGAAGGTATAGGAAGTGTTTATCATCATAACTGAAGCGCTGGCCAAACACCAAACAGCAGATAACATTGGACACGGTGCAGCTCAGGAAGAAGGTTGGATCAAAGGGTTTAGCTAAAAAAAAGAAAAGAAAGAACGACATTCATCAGTGTCACCCATGAAACAACAAACCGACACTAGTCAGTCAACAATTTTCATTATAGTCCTGTTTTATTATTATCAATACTTAAAACAGTTGCAACAACGACACTCAATCAAAAATATATGTTTATTTGTGTTAAATGCTTTTTTTTTTAAAGTTTAAGGTACATTTTTAAATGTTAATAACTAATTTTGTATTTTATTTGAAGCAGTAGGGCCATGCAAAGATTAAAATTGTAGTATCAGTATTCTAACAGAGACATTACAAAAAGTCCCTGTGTAAGAAAATGCCTGCAGATGATAGGAAATTGTCTTTTGTTACTCAGTAATCCAGCAGAAAACTAAAGAGCATCATGACAACTGACACGTACAACAGCCCTGAGAAACTGTGAACTTTAACATTTACTGATATTCACTGGGAATTGGGCTTACCAGCAGTCAAAATCACATCAAAATATATGACACTGTTTTACCTGAGAGCTTTTAGGATGATGTAAAAATAGGCAACATTTACTTATATGTGTACAAAAACAGATCCAAAAAACATGGTGTTTCTGGAGCAACTTTTGATTTATTTATAACTTGATAATCACATGATTTGTGACTGCAAATCACTTAGTGTTGGTCAAAAAACAAACAGCAAGTCACAATGGACATGGTGCAAAAGCTCAAATGTACAACATCATTTAGTTTAGTTTATTTTGAATGTGTGAATATTTGTTTATAACTCTGTATATAACAAACTGAACACACAAGACAAGCACAGTCACCTTTCCATATTCTATACCAACCATTCATCTTTTTAATGCAGCCCACCAGATGACTGCTCTCCTCCTGGATCCACTCTTCCATTCCTTTACATCCCATCCCAAAGTCTCTCAAAGTTGTCAGGGTAAACCTTCGTAGCTGTTGCCAACACTCTCCATTGCTAACACCCAAACCTTTTGAAAGGTAGAAGTAACGCATAGTTTCATAAACATGACCTTCACAAAAAAGACACATTGTAACATTAAATCCTCTATATTACCGTAGCCTTTGGAAGCTTTGAAAAGTAACGGGATAGGTCCTCGGCCAGAGAAGTCATCTGCTTGGTCCAGCAGCGCCTCCTTCACAGCATCATACCCCAACAAAATCACTGTGCGTTGGGGGCCCAGATACATCGTCATCACCGAGCCATATTTATCACTGAGCTGACGGGTTAAATGGAAAAATGAGTGAGCTTATACAGACATACCAATCCCTGGGATCTTTAACACCAAAGCATAATCCTATGCCACAAGCAATGAAATATTTTGACAATCAGTTGAGGCTGATGTCTGTAAATAAATAAATAATGGTTTACTGGTATACTATAATGCTGTCTTACACAATAAAAATAACAATCAGCTTAGTGGTTTTTCCATAAGAATGCACAAAAACATGCACATACATACTGCAATCAAAACAGTCAGAACATTGTGTTAAACATTATGTGGGGGTTTATGTGTTAAGAAGTAATTCAGTCACCTTTAGCATAGTTTTGAATGGGGCCCTTTTGTCCATTTGTAGCACATTTCCGATGACAGGCAGGGCAGAGGGTCCGAGAGGTAAGGCAAGTTGCCTATGACTCTTGATGCTGAAAAGCTACAGTAACGTCAAGACAGCCCCTATTAAAATCAACGTGCCAGAAAACTCCATGATTTTCCAGGACAGAAACTCTTGCTGTTCCCTGGAGTTGAAATGGCTGAGAGATCAAAAGAGAACTAATTGAAATGCAGCCATTTACACTGCTTGTCAGGCGCTGGTCAACCTTTTGCCTGGATTTCACGCTGTGCTGCGGAATGCTGTTGAGCAATATGCTCAGCCTTGTAGTCATACTTGAATCTGTCGGTTACATGTTTAATTTCAGATTGGTGTGAGAACAGTAAGTCCTGAAGGAAAACCCCTTTTTTATGCTTATGTTACTAAACACCCACATGAGAGCGAAGGAAATCAGCTCTGCAGAAAATGCCACTGTACTGCAAAGAATAACCTTTGTCTTAGAGACAGTGGCAGCAACATTTGCATTATTCCATAGTACGAAGCACCTTTTTGTTTAGCCTCCAATCTGTCATATCATCTGGGTTTATTTGAAAAGGTTAAACAAACAGAAAAAAGAACAAGTTACATTAATAGCAAGAACATTCACAGGAACACATTCAGCAGACAAAAACAATAGAAAAAGAAACAAGATTCCATTAAAAATCGTGGGCGACCTTGGCTCAAGAGTTGGCAGTTTGTCTTGTAATCGGAAGGTTGCCAGTTCGAGCCCCGGCTCGGACAGTCTCAGTCGTTGTGTCCTTGGGCAAAACACTTCACCCGTTGCCTACTGGTGGTGGTCAGAGGGCCCGGTGGTGCCAGTGTCCGGCAGCCTCGCCTCTGTCAGTGCGCCCCAGGGCAGCTGTGGCTACAATGTACAGTAGCTTACCATTACCAGTGTGTGAATGGGTGGATGACTGAACCTGTAAAGTGCTTTGGCGTTCTTAGGGACTATGTAAAGCGCTATACAAATACAGGCCATTTACAAAAACACATAATAAAGCAATCTAGACTGACTGCGGTTTGTAGTTTGTACCTGAAGCCAGGTCTATCAGGTTTAGTTTGTACATCAAAGGTTAAGTATTACAGTTGTAGTAAATAAATGGAAGAACAGGGGCAAGTAGTTTAAATCCTTTTTTCTTCTTTATACAAGTGATGTCATTGATATCTGTCAATATTTTTTTCCTGTTTTTTTAATTTTTGAATCAGTTACTGAATGTTCAATCAAGGTCTGCTATGAAGCTATGGTTATTAGTATTTTTAAGCCAAGAGTGAGCAAGAATAATATGGGTTCAGGTTAACAATATTTCTACTGGGTTTAATAGTATGTTCAAACATACAACCATACAAACAAGTAGCATTACTCCAAGAATTAACCTTTGGAACAAATATCTTCTATGGAAGTGGTAGAGGACGTTGTGTTTATACATAAGCAGTGTCACTGCAGTGTTGCACAATTATGGATTTATTTAGATAACATAGAAGTTACATATTTAATTCTTTGATGACCGTAACAGAAAAGTTAAAAGTTATTCAGCTATGCCAAAGTTGTTTCTTCCTTAGAACTGTCTTGTTTTGTAGGCTAGAACTGGTGGATTCTCTTCCAGCCAAGATCCGGCTTTGCAGACAGCAAGCTGTCATAATGTCCTGAGAGGACAAATTGGTAACACTGCTTTGACACTCAAAATAAAGCCAAAATTCAAAATACTCACTTTATCTTTTTCCTCAAGTTTTGTGGTGTTGTGTTTTGAATTTTTATTTTTGTTCGGCCTTTGTGATTTTGGTTCCTCTCCCTGTCTGTCTCCCATTGTCAGGTTTCTGCCATGTTTCTCCACTCCCCCCCATCATCCTGACTGACACCCCCATCACCTCTGTGGACTCGTTCCGCTTCCTGGGTACCACCATCACCCAGGACCTGAAGTGGGAGCCCACCATCACTTCCGTCATTAAAAAAGCCCAGCAGAGGATGTACTTCCTGAGGCAGCTGAAGAAATTCAACCTGCCAACACGGACGATGATGCAGTTCTACACTGCAATCATCGAGTCCATCCTCACCTCCTCCATCACTGTGTGGTACGCTGGAGCCACTATCAGGGACAAACAGAGACTGCAGCGTGTTGTGCGCTCTGCTGAGAAGGTGATTGGCTGCAGACTCCCATCTCTGCAGGACCTGTACACCTCCAGGACACTGCGGCGTGCAGCTCGGATCTCAGCTGACCCTTCTCACCCTGGACACAGTCTGTTTGACCTGCTCCCCTCAGGCAGGAGGCTCCGGTCCATTCACACCAGAACCTCTCGCCATAAGAACAGTTTCTTCCCCTCTGCTGTTGGACACATGAACAATAACCGTATGACTGTTGCCACCACTAACACATGACCCTACGCTGTGTTCACTGCATCATTCCATGTTTGGCACTGATCACCACCTGCACTCATGTATATATCATGTATATATCTATCCACTTAGCACTTTTAATTCTTATTCTTATTTTTATATTTTTATGACAGTATGTTTGCACTGAAGCACCGCAGCAATTTCCTAATGTTGTAAACCTGCTCAACATCTGGCAATAAACCCTTTCTGATTCTGATTCTGATTCTGATTCTGATGTTATGTTAAATGAGAGTTTTGTAATTGTTAAGTGTGTCTTTTGTTGTTCCCTATCTTACTTTGTCAGAGGGTCCAAAATTATTATTTTTTTAAAGTCACGTGGTTAGCCAGGGGACTGAAAGAGTCTAATTTGAGCAGTTTGCAGTTCATCTAGTTGAAGGGTTATATTTATCTAATATCTAATGTTAAGTATCAACTGGATCATGAAATGCACCTTTAAATGGAAGAATAGATGACAGTATTGTAGAAGCTTTGTGAATTAAGCTTCTACAATACTCACTTTTTTTGATTAAAGTCTTGTTATTAAGCAAATAATAAGTAATTATTGATATAACAGAGTTACATATTACAAGTTAACTGCAGACTGCAGACATGGTGCTTCAGCAGCATGATGACAATGACAATGAAAAATGTCTTCATGGTGAAGACCAGAAATGAAGGTTTGACCATTTTGGGGATCGGCCCGAGTTTCACCTTAATCGACAACAAAGTAAAGCTAGTTTTCGGCTACGAGCCCGACACAGAACCCGACGTATTAGCCAGAGGTCCCTTTACTACAGTTCGGAAAACGCACCTTTAAATGTACGTATGTGAACCCTCAAGTGTTCGCTGACTTCTTGGATCCCTTCTTCCATCCCCTTGCATCCCATCCCAAAGTCTCTCAGGGTTGTGAGTGTGAAGCGTTGCAGCTGGCGCCAGCGCTCCCCATTACTGATTGCTAAACCTGAGAAGATGAAATGTCAGGATTAGGAAAAACTTTTACACAAACTGTTATTTGAAATTTCTTTATTTTCATGTGAAGTTGACTTAGAATCATGCCAAAGAAATCACTGGTCTTGAAAAATGATATATGGTGTCTTGTTACCATAGCCCTTGGTAGCTTTGAACAGAAATGGTATGGGCATTCTGCCTGTGAAGTCATCTGCCTGATCCACCAAGGCTTCTTTCACAGCATCATACCCCACCAGAACCACTGTCTGCTGCCAGCCCATGTACAGTGTCATCACAGGACCATAGGTTTCACTGAACTAAGACAAAGCTAAGAAGAAAAAAAACTTTTTTGTATTCATGCAACGTCAGCACGCAGCTAAAATAAAAATCCAGAACAGTAATGGAGGGTGCGCTTGAGACTGAAGAAGTCACTTGGATGAGTGACGAAACGTTTCTCCCACAAAACGCTACTTCCAGATGAACAGAATCCACTTTTGGGGAGTGTGCCCTTGTTTATTCTTAAGTTACTGAACAATTTAACAATATGAAAAATCCTGGAGGTCCTGGAGGCAGACGATACTTCCTTCTTTTTACACTAAACAGCCACAGCAGAGCTAAGATTAGCCCTGCCAAGATCACTGTGGCAGAAAACTCCATAACGTTGTATTTTGTATTTTTGTCCTTCCTTATATACCTACTTTCTCTCTGTGATTGGCTTCTGTAGCTAGTTTATATTTAACAGAGGTTTGGCTGGTTGGACACACATGACCAATGTGATGTTTTAATCTTGTGGACCTTAGCACACTTTTACCTTGTTAATGATTCTCATTGACAAAAAGATGTTGCAACATTTGATTTGAATAATAAAGTCAAAACATGTAAACCATCCTCATTTGACAGTCTACACTGCCCTCTACTGGAATCAAGATTTGGCCCACACGCTGCTCTGGCACCTGTTTGAACATTTACACGCTGTCTGCAACAGCATACATAACTATTATAAAATAGGTTCAGTTTCTAATACAAATCTGCTCTCTTACCAAACCAATCAACTCTGTGAAATGAATCCAAGCAATCCAATACTGTGCTTCACTCGTAGAAACATAAAATATGTTTACAGTGAATGCTGTTAAAGTAGTAAATACTTATGATCTAAATTTGAAAGGAATATTTCACAAAAATCTTTGTCAGACTTTATTTGGATTGTTTATTTTCTTTTTCATATGAAACTGGGTTTACCTGCTCAGCACTAAGGAGAAACATAGTGATTACAATTTAATGTTCAAGACTAGATGTTTACATAAAAACATATGCTTTGTTGACAGGCCTAAAGTAATTTGTACAAGCTATTAGTTAACTTATAAGTGCAACACATACTGTTTATATTGCTTTTGCATTTGGTTTGGTTCCATTTTGAACCGAGTCAAGGAATCCCTCATAATGTGTCTATACCAAATTTTGAACTATGTATCGATTTAGAGAGCAGCAACAAGTTACCTGAAATTAGTAAATGCACTATTCATTTTTTTTATTAATTTCAACACCATAAAGAGAGATAATATATTTTTTAGATTTTACATCATTTATTTAGAAAAAAATTAAACCCACTAGTCATGTCATACTGCAAACAATGAGCATGACATTTGTAATTATTGATAGAAAACGGTTGTATATTAACATAAAGCCCTAAAATAAAGACATGGTGCTTCAGCATCATGATGACAATGCAAAAACAAGCAGACATGAAGGTTGACTTCAAAGAATAAAGCAATGTGCTTCTGGAAGAAGACGGATATCCTTCAATTCTATACTAGAGGATGACTAGTTTTTCTTAAGTTAATGGGGATTCTATTGGAGCACTCTACAAGTACTAATAACAGGCTGCTCTGATGGTATGCTTTGACCATTTTCAATTCAATTCAATTTTCAATTCAATTTTATTTATACAGCCCCAAATCACAACAACAATCACCTCAAGACGCTTTATATTTTAAGGCAGACCCACCAATAATATATACATAGAAAAACCCAAAAATTATATTGTGTTTTCAAATGATTAACTTTAGGTCTACCATGTCAGCACCGCATTAGAGCACAGGTGAGCCATGTGATCTTCCTGTTCACCTTAGTACACCTATTTCTCATTTCATTGCCAAACAGCTATTACAACATTTGACCTGATTTCTATAATCAAAACATGTAAAACAGCTCCGTCCTCTTCACCAAGATTGCACGTTAATGATTCACAGGAATGACTCAGGGCGTGGATATTCTTTATCATCAACTCTGGAAGACTTGTTGAAATTATTATATAAAACCTATGAGTAACTTTATCGTGTTTCTGTGTTTGTGTTTTGACAAAAAAAAAAATGAAAGAAACAAAAAAAAAACAACAACAACAACAATTTGTCAGTAAATTCACTATCTAGTTTAAAACACTACAGAAACTCTTAGAACTTAGATTCAGCACATTATTTGAAATCATGCCTTCTCAGCTAAAACCCCACATCTCACTTATATTATTATTATTTCATGTCTTTTTTCTATATCACAGACATAACAGCAAAAATTTATTGCACATTCATTTAACTCTACTTTTAATTGTGCATTTAATGTTACTGCACCACATTAACGCAATGCAGCATGTTGTAGAGATCCATGTCAGTTATAGTGCTGCAAATGATGACAAACTGAATGGCTCTCATTTTAACGTGCTGTAGCTATGATTTGATGACTTCGAGGTAAATTGGCAAAGCTGCTGTACTCTGGATCGAGGTCTACACTGTCAGGGCCTCCTTCACAGGAAAAGGTGAAATCCTGCAGCAGTGAGACTACGAAGATAAAAAGCTCCATACGAGCAAGAGACTCGCCAACACACGCTCTCTTCCCTGTAAAGACACACAATCACAAATCACTCTATGGTAACCAAAATTGCTTGTTCTTATTATTTTAGGGTTTCTACCTTACTATAATAAGTGCCTTGAGGCCAGGTTAGCTGATTTATATAGAGCTACAGCTGAAGATTGTATAATTTATCAACTGTGTCAGGACTTTATGTACCTGCAGAGAATGGCATGAATGCAGGATTTTTCTTGAAGTTGCCGTTATGGTCCAGGAAGTGCTGGGGATTGAAGAACCTGGGAGTGGCCCATTGCTTTTCCTCTTTCAGCACAGAGTGCAAGAAAGGAATAATTACAGTGTCCTGTTCAGAACAAATATGTTGTTAGTCTATTGATGCTTTTAATACTTTTGACATTAACCCCTGACATGATGCACAATGGACTTAATACTGACTGTAATACGTATAATGTCTTGGAATTAAGAATACCTTTGGGATTGTATAACCCCTGAAGGATATGTCATTCAGTGTGTAGTGAGGTATGCTGAAGGGCACAATGTCAAGAAAACGTTGGACCTCATGGATGACAGCATCTGAAAATGGGAGGGACTTCTTGTCGTGCATCCTGGGACAACGATCTTTTCCAATTACAGTGTCAATCTCTTGCTGCATTTTCTCTGGAAAAAGCAAAACAAAAATTATAACCGCTCTGATCTGTTTGTAATGACTGCTAAGTTTTAGACTCACAAACAGACTTATCCCTAACTATAATATATTTAGGGCTAAAAGCAAGTTGGTAATACTTTTTTCTGTACACCTACCCTGTATTTTGGGGTATTTAATCAGCACAGTGAGAGCATATCTCAGGGTGGAGCTGGTGGTCTCTGTTCCAGCAACAAACAGATTCAGTACAGTAGAAACCAAGTTGTCATAATTGAACTCACTTGAGGGATTGTCCTTTTCCTAAGGAGACAAATTAGGAATATTGTTGTCTCAACAGAAACCAAATTTAAAATACTCAAATGCCTTTTTAGCAGCACATAACAGACCAGCTCGAAATATAGTTTAAATAATTCCAACCTGTTTAATGCAAATATGGAAAAAAGAACGACACAATGCAAAGTGCCCTTAATAAAGCAACTGATCCTTCAGTTCTTTCCAACCTGATTCATTCTGATGAGGAAGCAGTCAATGTAGTCTCTGGGGGAGCTGGGGTCCAGTGTCTGTTTGTGCTCTTGGATTTTCCTCTCGATAAAATCTCTGGCCTCCTCTGCATGCCCAAAAACAGTTTGGTGGTAGCCAGGAAGATGCTCCATGAGCCAGGGAAAGATGTTGTGCATCTTCAGGAGGGAAAAACAGCAGCTTTATTTGTCTAAAGACGTATGAAAATATGCAATCAGTATTACTGAGTATTAATTCTTTAGACAACACACTTCATGTCAGGGACCTGGATCTGAGCGACCCAGGGTCCATGAGCAGCTATGGACTAATATAATATATTATGTATGTTGGCTGCACTGTGCTGCTGTTCTTGTGTTCTCCATGCTTGTATGTACAGGCAAGTGGATGTGTCTGTGAGTGAGCACTGGGTTTCAGGCAGGCCTGGTGGGTGTGTCCCGTCTGGAGACTGGCCACACCTAAAGCAGATGATCACACGCACCTGCAGCTAATGAAGCCTAGTCGGGGAGCTACTTAAGAGTGTGGCTGAGCGCGTCTTGGTGTGGGATCGTTGTGTGAGACTCCATGTTAGTGGGCTTCGTGAGCGCATGCCTGAGTGTCCTGACCGTTGCTTCTTTGTTATTTTCTCCAGGAAGGAGCATGGAAGACAAGAGCAGCGAGCACTGGGTGCGCGGACACACAGGAGCAGAAGAGCACGGACTTGTGGGTGGAAGACACGACGTGGGAGTCAAGGGAACACACTGGGATTTATTATTCTACACCACTGTAAATAAAGGCACTGTTTATCATAAAGAGTCTAGCATTTGGGTCCTCCTTCATCACATCCCCACGGTTGGCCAGTGCTAACTGTGACACTTCAGCGCTGTTGGTTTGGAGGTAAAAAAATGCAGAACTATCTGATCAGTATGTTGTTGTTTTTTTTATATGTTAACTTTTTTTTTGTAATCATGTCCACTGACCTGACCAAGAGGAGTACTGTTGAACCTTAAGATCTTAGTTATGATGGTCAGAAGGTGCAGGAACTGCTTGTCTTCAAAACTGAAGCGTTCCCCAAAAACCAGGCAGCAGATCACATTAGAAACAGTGCCGCTTAACACAAATTGGGGGTCAAATGGTTTACCTGGATAAAAAAGGAAAAAGACAGTTGGAAATAGTTAGCAAAGTTACGAATTAAAAATGCAAATGTTAGGTTTTTATTTAAATAAATCATCTACTTTAGTTTAGTTTCTTTTGAAGAAAGATTTGACAGTAAGAAACTTTCTGTCAGTTGGCTGGGTCTGTGACCCTTTTCGAGTTTATGGTCTTTTTGTGAATTTTTAGTTTGGAATGATGCATCCATCCATTCGCTTCCGCCTATCCTTTTCAGTGTCGCAGGAGCCTATCCCAGCTGTCATAGGGCGAGAGGCAGGGTACGCCCTGGACAGGTCGCCAGTCTGTCGCAGGGCCAACACACAGGGAAAAACAACCAGTCGCACTCACTCCCGCATTCACACCTATGGGCAATTTAGATT